AATTTCTGGGGCAGGATGGCATCAGCTTTTCTCAAAGCAGCTGCCCCAGAGAACCCAGGAAAACAAGCCCAGGGTTCTTCATATTCAGGCTCTTCCTTCTGCAGCTGTCCTGGTTCTCTTTTAAAGAAAGTCTTGACTTGCCTCACACATCCTGGCACATTCTCATTTTATTTTAATAGCAAGTCATATGTTAATAGATGCATAATCACAACAAGTTTTTAAGCCAAAATCTTCAATTAAAAATTTAAAATAATGACATGCTATGAGTAATCAAAGTACTAGAGACCCCATCCCAGCAAGAGCAAAGGCAACAGGGAAATCAAGGTGAGGCAATCCTGCCCATCCCTCCAGAGCACAGAAATCACTGTTCTCTGACACTGCAGGACCAACACTCAAAAATATCCTATTTTCTGCTGGAATAAGGCTTTGCCACTGCTGTAAGCCTTGTCAGCTCTACTGAAAATATTTCCAGCACTTCCTTCTAAAGCACAAAGTGGACAATTACATCAAAACATTTTTGCATTGTTTTTTTTCCATACAATTTGCTCTGGCAGCACGAACGAGGCTGTGATCAGCCAGTTGCCACAGACAAGCTCTGTTTTATCATTACAGATACCCCAAAAGAAGCTTCTCTTGTTTTATTTTTTAATTTAGTTACATTAACACAGTGAGACATTTCATACATCATACTTCATATACACTAGCAGACACTGAATGCTGTCCTAGACAACTCAGAAGTTGACTTTCTTCTATTCCAAAAACTCACTGAAAGGCAATAACAAGCAACAGCACAGAGCAACTCCCACTCTTCTCCCACAAACACAGGGACTAATTTATTTTAGAGGCTTCAGACCTGCCATGTCAATTTTATAGGAGAATGAAAATGGAAGGGGTTTTTGGTTTTTTTGTTTATGATTTTTCTGGTTCATTATTAACTGCAGTACATATTTCAACAGGGAGAGAAAGTCCCCCCAAGCTGCTGTCCCTACCCCAGCACCAAGGCAGGCCACAGGAAGCCCCTGTGGTGACCCCACTCAGCCCCAGGCCCTGCACAAACCCCCAGGGCACTGGGCACAGCCATAAATTTGAAATATTGCCCAGATGAAGGCTGAACTTGTGACCTTCCCAGTATTTAACTGCCACTCTGGCTCTTCCAGGCTGAGCAGATTAAATACAGTAACTACCTGTTTCCCCAGCTCTGCTGTCATCACTTCCCAATCTTATCTGAGGGAAATGCTACAGATTCTTTCATGGCTGGGGGCAGCAAAACAAATTTTTCCAGTGCTCTCGATTCATTACAGATGTGGTAAATAACTCGATAGCAGCACCCACAGAGAGGGGAGAGCACTGTCCCTAGAGCCGAGGGAGAGGTGACCTTCAGACACCAAATTCTTGCCTCCACCATGGGAAGTGTCCTGCCTTTGCTTAGCCTGGACTGTGGTGACCTGTTGGATTAGGCCCTTTTCTGACCCAGAGATGGGGCAACTGAGAGGTGTTTTAAAAACTTTTATTCTATTTTCAGTCTCATGAGAAAGGTGAGACAATGCAGATGTTATAATTCACTCCATCACAATCAGAAGCCAACTTTTTCCTAATTACAAGTGTCTCTTGGCCTATCAGCTTTTGTCACACCGTGCTGTAAATGCCTTAAAGCCAAACATCTAAAATTCATCTTCCATAGTTCCATTTCTCCAAAGTATCCAGTCTTGTTTGCAAGGCCATCCTGAAACTTGTTTCTGGTTCCATTCTCTCTCAGCAATGTCTGTCCTATCCCATGGCATTTCTAAGTCAGCATTTCTTATCTCAAGGTTTGCACACAGTGTGAGTCTTCTGGCAGGTTTGGAGAATTCCTTACAAATCCATTTCCCAGTGACACCTGCTTTTGCACCCAAGGAAAACTGAGGAGGTGCCTTTTCCACATTCTGTGACACTCTGGGAACAAAGGTGCCCACACATTTTGTCCATTCTGTGTTTGGCCCTACCCCAAGTGTGGGCAGGATTCAGCAGTGCCCAGCTTTAGGGGCTGGCACTCTCAGCCACAGCTCTGCCTGGCACATTCCCTGTTCTCTCCCACATGAAGCCACTTCTCAGATGCACTAGGCAAAGGGTCAGTGTGTGACCAGTGGGTCTGTGGAATCCCCAGTTTGCAGATACATAGAATCACTGAATGGTTTGGGTTGGGAGGCACCTGACAGGTCATTCCATCCCCCCTGCCATGGCAGGGACACCTTCCACTAGCCCAGGTTGTGCCAAGCCCTGGCCAGCCTGGCCTTGGACACTTCCAGGAACAGGGCAGCCAAAATTCCCTTCCAAAGGTAAGGAAATGTCTTGACTCTACCTCCCAGATACACAATGCGGATAAAGAGTCTGAAAACACATTTGTGTAGAATTCTTCTGGACTCTCATTACCTTTCAATTTAAAGGTCATTTTCCTGATTCAGTCCTTCTGTGATGTATGTAGGGAAACAAATCCCAATCATTTTTTAAACCCAGCATTAGGGCAATAAAAGGCTCCTCCAGCACCTTTTATTTATGACACAGGGGTTCAACTATTTCCAGATATGTGAAACCAGTGATATCCTTAAATGTCACCAATAGGACCTAAGTAACAGCACTGAAGGTGCCACTTACCCCAACTGAAAATGGTGCCAAAAGTAACAGAAAACACCCAGGAACTCCCAAGATTGATGGCTGTACAGTCCCATATAAGCTGGAATAAGCTTTCCTCAGCCACCTCCCTCATACCTTACACAAACCCAGGGTAAGACTCAGCTATTTTCCTGCCAGTTGAGCACAGCCTCAGTGTGACACACTTGAGGGCACCCTCTCCCCAGGGAGGTCAGGAATTTTATCCCCACTGCCATGGAAGGAGAATTCAGTGGCCAGCACCATACCAGAGACAGTCATTTGCTTACAGGGTTTTGTAACCTTGTCAGAGAACACAGAAAAGCTGGCCATGGAGCAAAGGAGCCTTTAAGAGCATTCCTCTGAGTCCATGCACAAGCCAAACTTACAAGTGGATAAAGCAGGTTGTTTCTGCCTGGAAATTCCAGTCAGCCCATACCTGGCACTGCCAGGAAACCTCAGTCAAGAGGCAGCCACAGGAACACCTCTCCAGTTCCACTGCCCTACCACTGCCAAGCAAAGGCATCATCCCCCTTGGCACAGAATTCCATGTCTAAACTGCCATGGGGAAATGTCATTAGAAGGGAAAATATTGGCTGCCTGAGCACAACCCCCAGTACAGAGTGAAACCTCTTAGAAAAAAACAAGGGCTTCAAGGAGAGCTGCAGAAAAATACAGTACCTAAAAAAAATAATTCCTTGTCTGAAATGCTGCCAGACTAATTTCCAAGAATGGCAGAAAGAACTTAAATTAAGCAAAATCATGCTGTTATTAGGTGGGGAGGAATGACAATTTCTTTGGTCTAGAAGAAAATGATCCAGGGATCAGGTAACAGTTATCCAAGCTATTCAACCCTGCACCAAAGTACAGTAATGCAGAAATACAATTACTCCCTACAGTGACCTCTCAAGGAAAACAGAATTAAGATTAGAACTAAGAAGTAAAATCAGAAATGTCGCTATCTGAAATGCACTCTGTAGAATCTTTAATATATTTTAATACTCAAGCATAAAGGATTTTCTTTCCAGTGCCAGGTGTGTAACATCAGCATGGAAGGCCTGGCAGAACACATTCTAAGCCTTCACAGCCAAATGAAGGAATCCTTTACAATGGTCCAGATAAGGAGCTGAAGAGTTGTCTCCAGTTCACTATTCACTTTCATCCCCAGGTGACCTAGCTGGATGTCCTGCACTAAGGCTCCTCTCAGCTTTATCCACAACCTGCTTCATTGCATCATTTCATTAATGTTTTTAATTGCTGTCACTGCCCATAAAACACAAAACCAATTCTGTGAAATAGAGGCTGGAACTGAATTAAACACAGCACACAGTGAGCTGTTTGAACCCACTGTAAAGTGTTCTAAGTATCAAGCTTGGAGGTATTTCCAAAGCCAGAGCACCAAATCTTTATTCTTTTGGCCAAGATACAAGGTAAGAAAAATGTAAAGTTTTCTGCATGACCAGATAGAGTCTGAGTGCTTCCTTTTGGTCAGAAAACCTATCTTTTTGTTTATAGAAAATCTTTCATTTATGGATGTTCAGTGAATAAATTTCTCCTCCCAGAATTACTTTTTAGACCAACTTTGTAGCACCACAGTCCACAGTAAAAGAAGTCAGGCAGGCTCTTGTAAGGATCTTGCATATGCCATGAAACTCCAGAGGAAGAACTGGAAACCCCTACTAAGGGTCCAATCAGTAAAAAACACATATTTTCTCATGGAATGTAAGAAAGTCAAGGAAGGCAAACTTTTACCTGATTTTTTTTCCCACTCCTTACGCAGTCTTTTTTCTTTGCTGACCTAGTCTGCTTTACATTTTATGTTTAGTAAGATGCTTTTTAAAACTATATTATCAATATTTCAGTGCTTTTTCTAGTAAAAATATCTTGCAAGAGTAAGCAAAACAGTTACACACAAAATAAACCAGCATATTACCAAATATCTCTGCTTTTATCTTCTCGCAAGCTCATTGAAAACAACAACGTATTTAAGGATTATGAAAAATGCATTAGAGGTGTCCTTTCCAAAGACAACCAGGTTGCAGTACCACAGGTTGACTTTCAGATGGGATCAGCCACACTGTGGCCTTGGTCCTCCTTCAGCTACATGACATCAACCCCATTTAATACAACAGGAGCAGATAGAGCAGCTTTTAAGTACCAACAGGTTGTATTATATATAAGCACATTGCTCATTTGGCTATTTAGGAAATCATAAGCAGTCTGGATAATAAATCAGAGTAACAATATTTATAACAGTATTGGAGGGGGCTTGATTTTTAACAGGGCACAGAACCAATTACAGAATAAACTTCGATATTTAGGTATTTAGTCATCTGGAGAAGTGTTTTCAGTGAAAATCAAAACATCTCACCCACCTTGGACTGTCAGCTCTGCCTGAGCCTCCAGGGTGTCGTTGCCACTCTCAGCGATGCAGGTGAAGGTCCCGGCGTCGGCCTCGACCACGTCCCGGATCAACAGGACACCCCCAGGCAGCAGCTGGAACCGGCCAGACCTGCACACACAGGGACAGGGTCATTCCAGGGGTCATTCCAGGGGTCATTCCATGGACACAGCCTCAGACCTGCACACACAGGGACAGGGTCATCCCATGGATACAGCCTCAGACCTGCACACACAGGGACAGGGTCATTCCAGGGGTCATTCCAGGGGTCATTCCATGGACACAGCCTCACACCTGCACACACAGGGACAGGGTCAT